AAATTTCATCTCTTCTTTTGATTCTTTATCAATGGGATTTGCTGAATTCATTTGTCTTTCTTACACTGGTGTATCTCCGAATATATTAAATTCTCAAACTTTACGAGCTTCTAAAAACAGTTGCTAACACAATGCATGTACAACATACACATAACCCTAATTAGTTCCAAAATAAAAAAGTCACCATCAGAGATGAGTCGACAAACCAAGTTTTCCTCAGAAGAAAATTTGTGATGACGACAGGATGCCACAAACACAACCCAGAAAGTAGCAGCAGCTGCAAAAGATGAAAATGAGAGTTGAAAGACCGCGAATTTGCAAATAAGTAATGAATGCAAGGTTCTACAAAGAGAGACATTGATATTCTGGCATGTAGAGACAGAAATGATGCTTAATGACCTCAAGGATCAAAGAAAATCATCAACAAGTTATTGCTTATGAATTGGCTACAATGAACAATCGCCAATTAGTGATTGCTTGGAAATGGCTCATTGGCCCATCCTTTATGACTTTAAGGAGAAGTGGGTCAAAGATACCAAAATTAAACCATCAAGATAAGCAAATACATAAACCATAAAGATGCAACACTTTTCAAAGAAATGGAAAGAAACAATGTTGTTAAATGTCTTTAAGAGATTACTCTTTATCAGAAGAAAGTATCTGCTTTTCCCTGGATCGGCCACCTAGTTTAAGTGATTCACAATCATTTTCCATATATATCGAAAATTAATAAATGGCAAGCTAATGGATGAGCGGCCAAAAAAATGGCATAATAAATGGCAATTCTAGAGATTTGCTTTCAGGTATCAGAGATGATCAGAAGAGCATTTATAAGACTTTGCCAAGAGAACATTACCATGATATATTGGTACATCAGGCTGTACCAATTTCAACATCATCTGAACCATCAGCTGCTGCCATTAGAGGGCCCTTCAAACGGTTTTCATCATTACCGTTGATCTCACGAGCTGCCTTTTCAAGAAATTCCTTTGCGGCAGACTGAACAGACTGTTTCTCATTTGATTGGTATTTCCTCTTTTTCGCACTGATCCTTGATTTCTCTCCTTTATTGAGGCCTTTCATGCTCTGCTTTTGGGCTACAATCATTTAGCAATAACTGTTAGAGAAAGATAAATGTAAAGGAAGGGAAAAGGCATACACAAAATCTGTATAAAGGCTTACCAGATGTAAGATCAGGCAGAGAGTGTTCGATGAATCGAGCTGCTGCCTGACGGTTTAAGACAGTAGTCGGACGCAATGGTTCTACGATAAAAAAAGAGAAAGAGAGAAAGGTGTAAGAGAGCATTTAGTGGATAAGATTTTGACTTATAAGTAGCAATCCAAGTGAATAAAAATTTTCCTAAACGGATAACCTAGCTTCAACAAGACAAGTTAAACCTCGACACACGGCAGAAATAGTACACAGAAGTAACGCCTATTTAATGAAAATGAAGCCCATACCAGTTGAATTAGTAGTTCTACGAGTGAAATAAATGCGTTTGATTCACTAATCGGCCCATTAGTATTATATAACAGATCGACAAAACGGTTATTCTACGAAAGGCCCACGAGGCGGCGTATTAAACGCAGCGTAGTAGTGTTACCAATCGAGTAAGCAGCTTCTAAAAAGAAACGTATAAGTTCGATAAAATCTATAAGATAAGAGACTAGTCTCCCCCAATTAGAGATAGTAGACAGGAACAACTGGATCTTCAACGAAAAAGGAAAACCCGAAAAAAAGATCATCGTGTTCGCGAAACATAAAAAAAAACTGCAATTAGCTACCAATGAATTCAAATCAAGCAAGTTTTATAAATGGACGTCCATCTTGTAAAAATATGTTGAAATATAAATCTATTCAACGAGAAAACAATAACAGAGAAATAGCTTACGGATCTGTCTCATCGATTTCAATAGACTCAAAAGGTTTTCCAAGGAAATTAACAACTTTTTAGAAGAAACTGAACATAGTTTCCCTTAAACTCAATATGATAGGTACATGCAATAGTCAGTTGACGAAAAGATAAGCCGAGAACAATGCCTTCCGATAGAAACCCCACTTCAGTAAACAAACTTGAAATACTACTTCCCTGCATTTAAGATGGGTGTATGCAATAAAAACTTCTTCAACACAAATCATTAAATCTACGAGAAATAAGAATCAACACTAATCATAGAACAAAAGAAAGAAAACTAACAAAAGCAGATACATAATCCCAACAAAAAAGGAACAGAAGCACAAGCCCCCTCAATCGAGAATGTATTATTCAACGAAAAAGGTACCCGTTGGATTTCATTTACCGCATGAGAAATGGCGACAACCTATCAGCCTCAAAAACTAAGAATGGCTCAGAAAATTCTGAACTGAGAACATAATGTTTGAAGGTAGTTGAAATATCATCCCCGATGACATTATAAGGTAAACGAATGCAGCAGCAACTCTCCAATGGAAAGAGAAAGTCAGAAAACTTGTTTTAGTCTACTACGAAACAATACAATCAACAATTCAAATTGACATAAATGGTTTCCGAACAAGATAATCAAGTTTGATAAACCCAAATACTTGGCCCCTCAATTCAACAAGTTTTTATCTCTCAACAAATCAATCAGGCACTGAAAAACTCAGTCTTTACCTTTACTTCGATCCATACTCCGCTGAAGCTTCTCCTTGTACACGTCTAGCCTCTCCTGAAAAACCATACCACCATCAATAAAACAGCCAACTTTTGATTGCTTTTGCAAACGCCTAGAGTCTACAAGCAAGGACGCACACACCAATTGATCAAGCTAACAAGAAGATGAGAGACTAGAAGAAGTCTAGAACACACAAATAACTCGAATTTCACGAAATAGCCAAAGACAAATACCATTTCAGACTTAACACGATGATCATCGGGATTAACGCCAGTACACCTCAACTTCACTGGAAAAACAAATGAACAAACTTTCAATCTCATAGCTTTCCTTTCAATGGTGAAACAGATTAATAAAGAAGAAGGAGGAGGAAAGAGGTTATTACGAGCGAAAAGAGTAGTGGTGGCTTCGGCGAGCAAGTACATAGTCTTAGCTCGCTGCAATGGCTGCATTTGGGCAAGAACCTCAGGTCGGGCTAAAGAAATCATCTCTTCAAGCTGCGGTTTCAGTTCCTCGAGATTCGCCAGCGTTTCTTTCACAGCCTCCATCGCTGATTCCGGAACCACTCCC